TAATTCTTTGTGTATCAAGTGGGGTTCTCCTCCAGCAGCAGATCAATGACCATCAAGGTTTAGTTAGGGATGCTATCACATCATTAGACAAATGGTACCGTTCATAGGAAAGGTAAGTTTATTTTCTGTAGGCAGTAAACCTGCTCAGCTATGACCTTTTCTTCTGCAGTGAGGATTCCTCTTAATGGCTAAGAGGAGATTAAATACATTTAGCCAGACTGTAACACAGGGTTGGCTGCTTTGTTGCACAAAGAATTTAATGTAAAACCTCCCTCCCAAAAGATAGGCACTCTATCAACTTTGAAGGTTGCTCTTAAACACATCAGTGCTGCCTACAAAGTAGCAGTGCATTTTGCTCACTATTTCTGCAAGACAGAACATTACTTCCAAAAACAAAACAATGTAAGTTACTATCCGGTGATAATATGCTTTGCAAACAAAACCACCACCTATTCCTTATGGAACTCGTTTCACGGGTTTCCATAGTAACAACAAAAGCAAATCTATGATGAAAGCTGACTGTAAAGAATTTGATTAATTATAAACTGATTGTATTTTAAGACTATTTCATTTTTTCTATGAATCTCTTGTACTGTAACAGAAATTACTTGTTGCACACTTTAACTGAAAATGTCTCATACACAAGTACTTTTTTTGGAGGGGAAAACTGTAAGAAACAAAGCTACTGCTATAAGAGAATTCAATAGCAAACCAAACATTGATTGTTAGTGCTACTCATAAGATTTAATGTACCCTTTTCAAGAACATAGTAGTAAAATGCCTTATAACAGTGAAGACAGTTTTGAATAAAGAAAAGAGAAAGCAAAGGGAAGGGATTTGTGCATTGTCTTCTGTTTAGATTTAAGTGTGTATCTTTGCTCCTTACAACCACCCTCAAGAAAGAGTCCTCTAGCCTAAAGACAGTAACGAAACAAATTAGTCATAGAAATTGGCAGGCTGTGAAATACACACACAAACAAAATCCCAAAACAAATGAAAAAAACCTACCAAAGGAGACATGGTATATCTGTGTAACTTGCCAGAAGAAGAAAGGTGGTCAATAGATAAAAACACTGTGCTAAAAAGAAGAGAGGGGGTTTTACCTCACCTTTTTTAAAAAAAAGAGAGGTACATAGCATCTTTACACAATTCATACAAGAGGTAAGTAACCCTCTGGATATAAAGTGAGCAACTAAGCTACGAATTACAGCAAGCTTATAATTAAAAAGAGCTGGAAATCCTTAACCATTACTCTGCACCCAGTCATTAACGCAGCCAGTTACATACTGCACTCATTAACATATCCATAAATTGTTTACCTAGCTTCTGTTACACAGCAATTCTGTATTTAAAATGTGATTCCAAATCAATCAGATTGAAATTACTGTATGGTTTATATATGGATGCTACAGCAGTGACAGAAGTAACAATAAAATCTGCTCAAAAAGTCATGACAATTTAGACTATATCTTCATTAAGAGAATAATTATACACAATTTCAGTGTTCAAATGTTCACAAGTTCTGTACATCCTTCCCCAAAGAACACAGCAGCTCTTACGTTACAAGACACCACCGAGACACAGAATAAAGAAGTCTGACAGCAGTGCGGGTTCATGCCAAGTTCCGTAATGAACAAATGATGACCAAGACAATAAATCCTTAGATCTTGACTCCAGCTTAAGCAGAGTATTTTCTACAAAAATAACAAAGCTACTTCAAAAGTCTGAGAGTGTCAATGTCAAGATTAACATAGCGATATGCAAGCTTTCTATTTTTACTGTAGAAAACATTGCGCTCACGTTGATCAACAAAATCCTTTATGGTAGCTGTTTCATATATACTTCTGTCCCCTTATAACCAACATTGAAGACTACAAGCCTGTTCTTTGAATTTATACCAAATACCATTCCCAAATTATAGTTTCTTAATTACTGAATAACTGCATGTTTCTGTACGGAACTGCTTACCCATCTTGTGCTTTGTTTTCTGCACGGTCTCTAACTCCAGAGCTTCAGATTTCCTATCTCCCGTGTGCTTGGGATAACATTTGATGCGTTCCTTTCATATGCTGAAAATTCCTTTATATCACTGAAATGTGACATAAATTGTATTTTTCTTTAGAATTAGCACAACACTCTTTTCTTTCAAACCTACTTCAGCGCCAGAAACTAATGTGTTATTATACACTTTAAGTTAAACTGCAAAACAAGAGATGACTACACTTCCACTAACATAGAGAAAAAAAGACTGGTATTGGCCTAGGCTTGTTTTTACCTGCTTTATTCTTGCTTTCCTAGCTATAGCAAAATGAAAATAGGAAAAGTGAGAGGGATTAATTTTGTAAATTTTTCCTGTTACAGCCTGTTCATCACAGCCAGGAGAGTGGGAACTAATCAAGTGTCTGAATGAAATAACATGGGCATCCTACCACATAAAGACTTTGAAGCAGAAACCTATAGTAATTTCTGAGTATTTTTTCTTATTAGTAGATATTAAAGTTGGATGTGTCTTTAAACGTGGTAAAAAAGCATATCCTATGTTATGAATACCACTAAGTTTCTTTCCCAATGATGATGTACAGTAGAAAAGTTTACTTTTTTACACATGTGGGGAAAAATGGAAGGAACAACCCAAATTCATAACGCACGATGACATGCTTTCTTAAATACAGGCAACATCCCTGTATGTAGTCTGTCCATGTTTCTACTTCTTTTCCTCAGGCACTCAATAATCTGAAAATAACTGTTGTGCTGCTGTCCTATTCTTCCAGAAACCTCTCCTAATCTCTCTTCTGTTTACAGGCTAATTTCATGTGACCATATAGCCTAGCACATCACACGCTGTAACAAACAGCAAGATGCTGTCCCCGGCCTCATGTTTCACCATGTCCCTTTTCACAAAAACAGACACATGGTTTCCCTTTTCCATTTCTTTACACTATTTTCAAACCACAAAGCTAACACAAATTAGTTTTTAAAGTCTTATTCCCTCCTGTTCTTAATAATTCAGTGGGAACATTATCAACACCTGGTGCTTTATTGTTCCTGGGTGTTCTGGTCGCCTCTTGGTTCTTCTACAAATGGCTCAGCTGGCTGGAATATTGCTATTTGTTCACTTTTACCCGTTTCATCATTAAAGAGATCATTAAAATACTCCCTTCATCTTTCTGTAATTGCATTCTTTGTAAATAAGGTTTTAATTTTTGTTCTTTATCTTTGTTCTTTATCTGACTCATGCACAGTTCGCGTCCTTGTCTCATATGCTGATATCCCACTAAAATGGTCTTAAGTTATTTTATTACACCGCCACTTCAAATGCACAGAGCCATTTTTGTGCCATACTACCTTTTTGCTGAATCATTTGCATTACCAGAAGACTTATGGAAGTAACAAAATCCTTGCCACATACCAATGTTCAATGGCTTTTTTATACACTCCATCAAAAACTATTTATTTTTTTCTTGGGAGTTCTTTCTATTGTATTCTCTTGCTCTTTTCTTTACTCCAAGCATTTCCTAGCTGGTACAAAATAGTTGCACAATGTTCAAGCATGTTCCCACGTGTCTCCTTGGTGTCCAGGTCTGTATTTCATTTCTTAAAGGCGAATGTTACACTTGGAACTTTTCCTTAAAACAACTCAGTCATTATAACAGTACGATACATCCGAGGCATCTTCCTTTAGCAGATTTGTTCACTGATAACTTTGAAGTATCAGATAATTACTGGTAACTTCCACATATGTGTTGCAAAGGATACAGATGTTAACTTTGGTAGATTTTTAACCATCTTTTCTAGGACATGGAATGGGAGGTGGAACTGTACATGCATCACAATTATCTAAAAGCAGCATTATAAAGTTTACTCAGATTTTGTAGTTCACCTTAAAAGATACTGTGGAAACCCCATGTACTATTGTTTTCAACAACTCCAGATAAATAAAGTGTCCAAGGAAGTTCCTAGATTCCTCCTTCAGTAAGTTTACATGGTAGCAGGTATTTCTAAACGCTGACACAAGCTACCCGCCTCTTCTCCAGTGCTCCTGCCTTGCTTTTCTCACACCATTTTACGTAGTTCGTTCCTCTGTGTTGAACGATGCCAGTAAGCGGCTGGCAGAGGAGAACCCCGGGCGCTCTGCCTGCGTTCATGGACATCCAGCATCTCCCCTAACAAAGGCTGTGCATTAACTCCCCTCGCGAATCGCCAAACACGGTCTGCTTCCTCACCAAATTTTATCATAATAGACGCAAAACGTGTGTCTTCGTACTTCTTGAAGAGTGAAGAAAGCAAGAACCCTGAGGTAAAAACTATTGAGAATTTCAGCCCAGATTACACAACTTTAGCAAAAAAAGTCTGATTTATCATTCGGGGGGGGGACGGGGACACACGACCTCCCTCAGCGCCACAGCCTGTTCCCTCTGCGCTCTGGCTCTCGGGCCCGCTCTCCCCTTGA